CCTCCTGGGACTCTATACCGGTGCCACCCTTTGCGGACGAAACAGAAGGAGGAACGCCACAACAGGGGAAAAAGAAGAGGCCACGGCTTGAGAGTGGTAAGGAAGCGGATGAAGTAGAGCAAATTGCCGGACCCAAGAAACGTCAAGCCACTGCAAAAGCCAAATCTACTGGGGTCTCCAAACAGCCCAGCAAGCCACGAGCACGACATTCTGCTCTTATAAGCGATTGTGAGGAGGGTGCCAACGAAGATGATGAAGATGAAGAGGAAAATACACCCCGAAACTCCCGCAACACGGGTCGTGCACGTGGCGGCGGCCGGAAAAAGAAATCTCAAGCCAGACGAGGGGACCCTAACGTGGACTACGGTGACGACTGCACCCGCACCAGCGACATGGAAATGGGGACAGACGGGTCTGACGACGGTGCCGACCTCGATGACTTCATCGTTAGCGATGGTGAAGTCACCTCGAGCTTACAGCATCGTCCCCGTGGGTCCACCTCGCCGACAACAGCTCCTGACGTAGGATCGTCTTCCTTGCCCTCGAAAACGGGACGCAAGCTTCAAGTGGCAGATCCCTTCGCGTCGGATGAAGATGATGACGACGTCTTTGGATCCAAATCTAAGCCGGCAACCGCAGCGGCAGCGGCAGCTAGAGGCTCGTTGCCATCAACAATAATACGAGAGAAGCCCAAGCCGTTTTACGTGCCGGTAGAGATACCGGCAACCCAGGACACGACGGACGGAGACGACGACTTGGCCGATATCGGATTTCTGTCTGCTAAGAGAAAGACAGAAGACACGGGTACGGGGATGCGAACGGGGAGTCCAGGACATGCAAAGGCCGATGACATCTCGAGAGTGGGCGGTGGTGGGGATCAAATTCGAGAGAAACCGTCTGGCGGAGCGGCGTCCCATGCCAGAGCGAGGAAGCGAACTGTGGTGATGGATAGCGATGACGACGAGGAATGATCACTCATATGTGCTTGGTGTCATGGCCGAATGAGGGCTTCTATATGGTTATAGCAGTCATTCTTCACGCGGTGGTTCATATATTTCGGTGTTCGGGGTTTCGGGCGGTTCAAAAGGGGACTAGGGACATAGGACCGGTCAGATGGCGAAGGTTATTGATATATTACGGTATGTGACGATGCTAATAGATTCTTACTGCACGATGTGAATGACTTTTGCTTTTCATATGCCCAGGCTGATAACCTACGTGAAGAGTGAAGAAAGCCACAGAATCATATCCAGGTATAACAGGACGTACTCGTCTGGACTAGAACATGTTTCCCTTGAGCGTATCAAAACCTGATGTGTATGCTGTCCGATATTATGAGTCTTCTTGACTCCTGTCAGCTTCGACGTGCATTTTGTCATTAAGTGATGCAATAGTGTGACATGCCATGAACCGACATGAACTTGAACTGAAGTGAAACACCCAAGACAAAAGAGGACTTATAGAGGAAGCTGCGCCACATGTGGCGGTGCTAACTTGGACCACCGAGCGGATGTCCCAAACTTCCACAGGGACTTCGGGTGATCACAGGCAGGGTCGTGTTTTGCTAGCGTCTGTGGTTGCCACCGACAACCAGAAACTCTCCACTTTCGTCACTACACTTTTTGTTTCCCGAGAGCTGCCTGCGTGTGTCTGACCACTTGGCGATACCAACATTCCTTTTATCAATATCTTTCACAGCTCTTCCACTTGTACTAAACCTTATCAACGAATGACAGGAAGCTGTTGTCATTGAAGACCAAACCACCAACGGCAAGCAAGTCAATTGCTTGTGCTGTCCAACAAAACCGCGACGATTCGGCAACACGCTCGATAAGCTTCCAGCTCCGACCAGCGTTCAGTAGACGCTCGTCACCAGCAATCTTTCGTCGCCTACCACACCCGGGGAGCTCGGTTCGCGTCACCCTTTCGAAGCTGTTTAGTCGAGTCACAAATCCGTCACCATGTCGGACGTCGAGAATGTTGATTATCTCCAGCCGGGCTTCGACCCTCGGTCGCTGACCGTCCCGCGCCTGCGCTCCATCCTCGTCACCCACCAGGTGCCCTATTCCAGCACGGCAAAGAAGGGCCAGCTCGTCGACCTGTTCAATGAGCATGTGGTGCCTCTGTCCAAGAAGTATCTAGCAAGCCGCACTGCCAAGAGGTCTAGCAAAGGTATTGTCGATGCTGACACGCAGAGTTCGGCGAGCACCGACTTCGACCAAGAGCTGCCGCCTCCTTCCCGAAGCACCCGTCGCTCGCGATCGCCGCGCAAGGTATCGAGGGTCAAGCAGGAGGAGCATGTCCCGGAGCACCACGCTCCTGTGACGCCAGCAGCGGCTCGTGGCACCACTACAAGCCAGAGGGTACCCCGCTCTGCAGCATCGCACGTATCTCATGCGCCGAGTGTTGCCGACACGGATGATACAGGGCACGAGGCAGAGACGTCTTTTCAAGAAACGTCCTATCAAGAAACGCCATCTACGCTCGGTAGGCACTTGCGTACGACGCCGGCTGTTAAGCATGAATCCGACGACGATTTCTTCAAGCGAACCCCTGCGACCGCGAGTGTATTCACGAATGACAATCCCTTCCAGGCCGGGAGCCCTCCGGCGCCTCCTTCGACGGTAAAGACTCCAAGCCACCGTCGCAAAACGAGTGGTCTGGATTCTGCTTACACCAGAACCCCCTCTACTGTTGCTTCGCGAAGACGGACAGATGGCCCGCAATACGACGAGTCAGAGGCACCCGACACGACATCATCGATCAGGAGTTACGAGCCCAGTTCGACGTCTACGGTTAGGACATACCAATTGCCTTTTGGCCGCAAGCACTCTACACCAAAGACCCCAAGGTCACCCGAATATTCCGAAATGTCCATGGTCTCGAATGTTGCCGACTCGTCATACATTGCCGATTCGTCGTATGTTGAGGCCGGAGAGGAGTTTACTCCAGATGAGCAGTTGGCTTTAATGCAAGAGGAGATCGACAATCCTGCTCTGGCTGCTCAAAGGAACAAGAAAGTCAGCCGTAGGGGAAGAAGCCCTCTGACCACTCCATTGTGGGTCCTCCTCACCACCCTTTTCGTCGCATACGCGGGCTGGTACAGACAGGAGAAGATCGCCGTTGGCTACTGCGGTCTCGGGCGGGAATCGCGCCAGATTGTCGGGAGAAGTATCAAATTGCCTGACTGGGCGACAGAAGTAACCGACAAGATCGGCCTCCACGATTTTGAGGTCCCAGAATGGGCCGGTCCGTTCCTCGAACCCGACTGCGAACCGTGCCCTCCACATGCGTACTGCTACGATGCTTTCATTGCCCGCTGCGAGCCTGGCTTCGTCCTTAAGCCTCATCCGCTCGCTTTCGGAGGTCTCGTTCCCCTGCCGCCTACTTGCGAACCCGACGGCGAGAAGGCGCGTAAAGTTCAAGCCGTCGCCAACAAGGCCGTTGAGGAGCTGCGGGACCGTAGAGCCAAGTACGAGTGTGGGGAGCCCTTGGAACCCGAGGGTAAGCCTCTGGAGAGCCCTGCGATCGACGAACAAGAGCTTAAGGAGTCTCTGAGCAAGAAGCGGAGCAAACGGATGGCTGCCGAAGAGTTCGAGGAGCTTTGGGCCGCGGCCTTGGGAGAAGTCAAGGCTCGGGATGAGGTTGAAGTCCACGTAACGGACTCCTACTATGAGTAAGTTCCCAAGAAATATTTACTTTGAACAATGTGTTATGACCACAAAAAAAGCTCTTTCTGACCACGCCTGGACTAACCAGACCGGTTGCTTCCGAACCACTAGAAAAAGAGGTGCCTCTGGCTTTCCAACCACCAAGCTATCGTCCAGCTCTCTCGCTCGCCTTTCGTACTCCTGCGCGCTCCGCCGATCCGTCAAGCTTGGATTGGCTCGACATCGACTCAGCATTGGTGGAGTAATCCTCTCACTACTCTCACTCATCTACGGCCGCAACGCCTACCGCTCCCACCGCGCCGTCGCCCGCCAGATCCCCGGTCTGGTCGACCAGGTTCTCGACCGCCTGGCTCTCCAAAAGGAGATGGCCTTCGAGTCGGACGGCGACCACGACGCCTTTTTGTTCCTGCCCAACCTGCGCGACGACGTGCTCCGATCCGTGCACCGCCTCGCCGAGCGCGAGCGCGTGTGGAAGAAGGTGGCGGCCGTCGTGGAGCAGAACAGCAACGTCCGCACGGGACAGCGCGAGAGCAGCAGCGGCGAGATCGCCCGCGCGTGGGAGTGGATCGGTCCCAGCCGGCCTGGGATCACGGGCGGGGAGGCTAGGAGGCGTTTGAAGTCTAGCAACAATACTCAACGAGTTTCTTGGGGCCCGGATGTCAAGACTGAGGCTGAAGTGGAGGAGGAGCAGCAGCAGCAGCAGCAGGTGGTGAAGGGGGAGGAAGATCAACTGAAGTTTGAGACTCCTACTCATCCGCCTGCGAGGGCCGGCGGCGGTAGTAGGTTTGGATTCAGGAAGTGGACTGAGGGGAGGCCGATTTACTAGATTGCCTATTTCATGTCCTTGCTTTCAACGGGTACTACTTTACTCGTCTATGAGAAGGCAGATTCAGTTGTTACATATGTACATATACTTGATGTGTATTCGTTCTTCCTGTTACTTCTCCCCGCAAATTTCTCTTTGTTCGTTGGTGGTCTTTTTCTGTGGGTTCATAGACCGTGTTGGTTGTCCTTGTTGACTGTTAGGGAGGCGTTTAGGGGTAGGAGAGCAACGAGGAAGTTAAATGTGAGAGAGAAAGGAATGATTGGTTGCCTTGCTCACCTTCATATTTTATCGCTTGCCGTATCTTGTGACGCGCGAACACTATGTCTAGAACAAGTATCCTCATGATTCCCCTGATCGTTATTTGAACCCTCAACGCCGTTTCTCGTCACCTCAAAGTGGTTACTGAAACAATCAGCTAAGCTTAAGCCTCTTCTGCCCCGTCCCCCTTCCTTTACTGATCTCATGTACCTTGAAGTAGCAAGTTCAGATGAACACACATGGCTACTTTCTTTGCCCTCAATATTTCAGTCCAAAGATACGCTCTATTACGCTCTATTAAATGCTTCTATCTCCATTTTTTTTGCCCTTTTATATATCCTTTTTTGTTCCATCCCCAACACTCTTACGCCCTGCTGCCACGAGTGTTGTGGATATCGAGCACGATAATATCGGTAGCACCAACGGTGGTCAGGTCGTCCATAACAGTGGCGATGCGCTTCTTCTCGACCATGGCGCTGACGGCAACCCAGCCCTCGTCCTCGAGCGAGGTGACGGTGGGGGCGCGCTTGCCGGGAGTGATCTTGGTGGCGTCGGCCAGACGGGTGCGCTCGACGTTGTACTGGCAGAGCACGTATTTTTGGGCGGTGATAACGCCACCAATACGGGCCGCGATCAGCTCGACCATCTCCGGGTTGCTGGGGGCCTTGGACTTAATGAGGATGGCGGAGGAGTCGACGACGGTGTCGATGGCCATGAGGCCGGCGGCCTTCATGGTCTCTCCGGACTCTGTTGTCGGGGAAAATGTTAGTTACTGAATCAGGGTTGGGGAGTGTCGCGGGGAATGCTGGATGAATTACTCACCAACAAGATCGACGATGCCGTCGGCGACACCGAGAGCGCAGGCAGCCTCGACACTGCCGCTGAGCTCAATGATCTTAGTCTTGAGCTTACGGTCAGCCAATTGGGAGGCATCCGCATCCACAAGACCCTCCTGCTCCAGCTCGAGACGGGCAAAGTATTCTTGCGCAAGGTGAACAAAGCTAGTGCCGATATTCTTGCCGATCAAGTCCTTGCCAGTGGCGTACTCGCCCTTAACGGGAACCTGGACCTGGAGCTTGCAGGCGCCGAAGCCGAGCTCCATGACGGTATCGCAACCCTGAGGCTTGGCCTTCTCGCCGTGCTTCCACTCGCCGCTCTGGCGACGGGCGCTGGCAACGGCGCGGACGCCGGCATCGTGCTCCTGAACTTGGTCGTAGCCAGTGATACCGAGGTCGACACGGCCCTCACCAACGAAGGTGGGGATATCGGCGGCGGGAAGGAAGACGAGGGCGATGGGGAGGTTCTTGACGAGCGCAATGTCGAGGCGGTTCTCGCGTCTAAACTGGATGTCGGCGCCCTCGAGGAGGTTCAAGGCGGCTTGGAGAAGGCGGCCCTCTGCAGGAAGTTAGGCTCGTTAGATATCGACCGGAAACTCGGTATAATATGTCGTGACTCACTCTTGGGCACGGCAAAGAGAAGTCTGCCTTCGAGGCTTTGGAAGACGTCAGCTTGTATGCCTTTTTAATGGCCATTGTAACGGGGAGTCGGATCGAATTCGACCAACGGTGGTGGTGGGGATATGACTAACTGGTTTACCAAATCCATGATGGGCTATGTAGTGTACAAGACGAAAAAAAGCGTGGGTATATTTGCGAAGAGAAGTTGGCGTCGGTCGAGGGTTTGTGGACTGGAATTGGAGGTGAACAGTTAGTCAGATTTGGAAACAAAGAAGAGAGAGTTCTTCAGGACTTGTTGGAAGAGATGCCAGTAGAGGGAAGTACCAGGACAGGATACAAGTACAAGGTGAGCTGGCGGGGGTGGATGACATACCTCGGACGACACTAGACAACTGCAGCTTCCGTTGGTATGGAATATGGATCGGATTGAAGTGGACGTCGGGAGCAAAGATGGAGATTGTCCTGGACGGGTAGGCGCTTCTCTGGAAGTCGGAATTTTCCTGATTTGGCGCATCCAGGACAATGGAGCCCACCAAAGGCGACCAAAGGCCCACGTTCCTGAATCGGAGCTAAAAGATGGTGACTGGAGATTTGTCTGTGTGACTGGGTGCCCCTCGCCGTTTCCGTCCCGCGTTGATCGACCAGTGGTGGACAGTGGGGGTTGCGGCGGGGCTCCCCGACCCGCACAAGTCGGGTATCGGCCTGTCGGAGTGATTTTAGCTAATCAAGTACCGCGGTACCATTGTCGTCATAACCTCGAATTGGGTTTCCATTTGGCTTCAAAGATATCCCTTTCCCATCCGTCCAAAACATGCTTCCATCTGCTTCAATCTCACTGTCGGGACCGACGGGCCGTGCGGTGCAGCGCCTGCCCCGCATACCCCTCTGTGAAGGAAAGCACTGGTAGATATATGGAAGGAGGCTGTCATTGATGAGAAAGAGCACAAGGCTATGGGAAGGCACACACGAATACAGGAAGGAAGGAAGCTATTCACAGACGGAAGGAAGCCAGGCACACAGGGAAAGCCGGTACCTGGCAAGGCCTAACCGTGACAGGAAGGAAGGTTGACCACGAGATTCCTGTAGCTGTTCTTTATTACATTTCAATCAATTCCATTGACACACAAGCCTTTTCGCCTTGACATTCAATCTCACCCTGAAGCACGTGTCGGAACGCGCTCCAGATCTGCAAGGTACATTGTCCCTGTCTCAGGTACTGAATGAAAGTTACCGTGCTGTACAGGTATAGCGCATCCAAATGTACCGGATTTGGGGTCCTTCAGGGTCCAAGTGTACAACAGGAGCAGATATGCGCTGCGGTGGTGATTCTGTCCTGCGTAGAAACCATCACCAGAAAGACCCCTGTCAACTCCCGACACTGAGGATACGTCACCCCTTTCCATTTTCCTCCCAAATTCCATGCGCCGGGGCTCACTCCCGACGGCCAAACTCTAGAACCGTATCTGATACGTAACGGCGTACCAGATGAAGTACCTCTAGGGGGCACGCAGGGCTGGGCTTACACCATCCCCTGATAAGAGGACCATGACACTTTTTTAGAATGGCAACATTTCCATCTTGACAAACGTCTAAACATGCGTCGTTTCTGGCCACCTCACTCGCTTTCTTGGTTCACTTTCTTGGCTCGTTTGCTTCGCTTCTGCTTTTCGCTTTCAATCCTCTCGTTCAGTATCCCTTATCTCAACCCTCTCCATCTGCCGCGCCGCATAAACCCCCAGATATCGCTTGTGTTCCCATTCCCAACTGAGACCGAGACGGAAAGCGTGTACAGCGGCTGAACCGCATGCGGCACGATCCACGACAGTAGGCGCAACCGTATCCTACGCTTTGTAGTTTCCTCACATTGCGCCTCCCATCCCTTTCGGTTGAGGACAGGCATTAGTGTAATGCGCATCTGCTAGGTAAGCGAAATCACCAGAGCTCCTTTAGTTTGAAGATCCAGAAGCTGTACTCCATGGGCACGACGAACGCCATACACTAGGTATCGGGGAGTAGCAGCAGCAACTGTACATACCCTCTCTTCGAGACTCGATATGGACGCAATGCGCGCCCACCATGTCCTACATCGCAACGGCGCAATGACTGATTCGATACCTCCTACAGACGGCAAGACATTCGACCGCATCTCTGCGCCTTTCGAACCACAGGAACCGAAATATCCCACTTCAGAACCGCCATTTCCCGACTTCGAAGACCAGGGCAAGGAGGAGGAGGGCTTGTGTCCCAATCAGTGGGCGGCTTCCGCTGAACAACAAGACAACAGTGGTAGTGACTCTGAAGGAGAGAACGTCGAAATGTCAACTTGGAGGGGGAAGCCATCGGTGAAGGGGAGTACCGAGACTATGCGCATGCTCTTGTTGACATGCGTCTCGGTTGGCATCACCTTCACATGGGGTGTTGAAATGACGTGTAAGTCTCGGATGCCATGATTGTTATCCTGGAATTTGGAGACCTGTGAACAGCAGCTAACCAAGCGATGCTCAGACTGCACGCCCTACCTTCTCTCGCTGGGACTTACCAAGGGCCAAACATCGCTCGTCTGGGTTGCCGGACCTTTATCTGGCTTGATAGTACAACCGATAATAGGCGTCATCGCGGATCAGTCAAAGTCAAGATGGGGCAGAAGGCGACCTGTCATCGTTATTGGGTCCATCGTTACAGCATTCGCTCTCATGGCCCTGGGCTTTACCAAGGAGATAGTGGCCTACTTCATCTGGGATCCGACGTATGCCAGAGCGTGCACCATTGCTGTTGCTGTCCTTTCGCTCTACTGCGTTGACTTTGCCATCAACGCCGGTAAGGCTCACTCTTATGCCCCTGAGGTTTAGTATCACAGTACTAACGCATATGTGAAGTCATGTCTTGCGCGAGAAGCTTGGTTGTAGATACTCTGCCGATTGAAAAACAACAAAGCGGCGCAGCATGGGGTAAGTTTCCTAAATCACCTTCTAGACTGTGTGTCATTCTAACTTTGCCTTAGCAAGTCGTATGGGATCACTGGGACACATTATCGGTTACGGTATGGGGGCAATCGACCTTCTCCGCCTTTTTGGAACGTCTTTGGGAGACACACAATTCAAGCAACTTACCGTCATCGCCGCTCTTGGAATGCTCGTTACCTCTTCCGTAACCTGCTGGGCAGTGACTGAGCGGGTTCTTGTCACTGTCCGGCCCGATCCTCGTCGTCATTCGGGCCGCTTCAAGGTCGTGCGCCAAATCGTGTCGACCCTCATTACCTTACCTCCTCGCATCCGCGCCATCTGCTATGCAGTCTTTTGGTCCTGGATCGGTTGGTTCCCATTCATCATCTACAGCAGCACCTGGGTAGGCGAGACCTACTTCCGGTACGACGTGCCCGCCGACACCCGCGGCTCAAGCGACGCCCTGGGCGACATGGGCCGGATTGGCAGCACCGCCCTGACCGTCTACTCAACCATGACCTTCATCAGCGCCTGGATTCTGCCGCCCTTCATCCGCGCGCCCGAGGACAACACCTTCACGCACCGCCCACCCGCCAGCATCGCCAGCTTCGTCGAGACGGTCAACAAGTACAAGCCCGACCTGCTGAGCGCCTGGATCGCCAGCCACCTCATGTTCGCCTTCGCCATGTTCCTGACCCCCTTCGCCGCCTCGTTCCGCTTCGCCACCGTCCTGGTCGCCCTGTGCGGCATCCCCTGGAGCATCGCCATGTGGGCGCCCACCACGTTTTTGGGCGTAGAAGTCAACAAGCTCAGCGGCGCTCCCGACCCCATGTCCCCATCCACTTCCACCACCAATCCGTCCTACAGAAGACTATCCACCAGCAGCATCGAGATGCGCTTCGTCAACGAGCCTAGCGCCGGCGGCGCTGTTGAGGAAGCCACCGCAGGGAACAGCAGCTCAACGGGCGAGCTAAGCGGCATCTACTTTGGCATTCTCAACATCTACACCACCATCCCGCAGTTCATCGCCACCTTCATGAGTACCATCGTCTTCGCCATCCTGGAACCGGGCAAGAGCCCGGAGCTGGCGACGGACGCGCATCCGAGCGAGCACGCCAACACGGACGGACCGAACGCGATTGCCGTGTGCATGTTTATTGGAGCTATCAGCTCGTTGGTGGCGGCGTATGCTACTGCTAAGATGAGGGATATATGATATGGTTTTTTTCGTTTGGTTAGTAACAGATGCGTTGGGATTTTTCGCAGCAGGCATAAAGACGGAACAGGATATGACGTACGTACGTTCCTTGGGCCACTTGTCTCGGTGTGGATACATAATGTGTGTTTTGAGTAGTATAAAATTGACAGGAGAAAAGATTCGGGAGGTTGGCACTCGCTTAGGAGTATGGTCAAATCAAGCGATAGAGTTGGGATTCCTCACAGGTATGATATAGGTGGGTGTTTTGGGCTTATTGGCTAGTTAGTCTTGATTTTTTCATCTTTCATTGTTGTATATACACTTTGGCTCTTAACTTAATGACATTCCTGGGTTCTCTCGTCATTTCTCACTGACTATTTGCTTGTGTATCACCATGTTCTCATAATGGATATCGTTACAGGACCACTACAGTTGCTGGTATTGTCCATACCAGTGCTAAACTATACAAAGAACCACATCCACTTAAGGGGTTGCCTTTATCAAATATCTCACCAGTCAAAGTCAAATATGTCGAAGAGCCGGGGAGCAAGCAGAAGACACCAGTTAAACCCAAACATACGGGCATCCTTGTAACCGTGCTCTGACCATGAACAATATTGATACTAGCCAGGAAATATTATTATTCTACTCTTCATTCGTTCTCTGCCCCCCATGCTCCTATGCTCCCATGCTCCCATGCTTCTCTGATTCCCAATTTTCAGCTCACTCCCATCTTGCTTTCACCTATCTTCTTCCTCCTCGGTTCCCCCACCCCATCGCTTTCGCTCCTATCCGGAGGAGACACCGGTATGTACAACAACAACAACACGAGACGACGGACGTACTGTACGCTTTGTCCTTCCACTCCTTTTCCTTCCTGTTTCTTGTTCCAACCGATCGACACTCTTTTTACAACTCCAACTGTCTATCTTACTTTCTCTCTGCATTATTCCTATGGTCTGTGAAACCACTTCCATTCCCGTCGTCTTGTTGTATACCTGTAAGTACGATCCTGCATATGGTGAGTTCTTGCACGCCTGCACGTTATGTTCTGCTTGGTTTCATGGGATGGTCTGTGAAACCACTTCCATTCTCGCTGAGCGCGCAAAAAAAGAAACGAAAGAAGAACAGAAACAAATTCAAGTGTACCCCGCAGCCGAAAGCAAAAGAAAAGAAAAAAAGAGTACACACACCACTCCATTGTGGAAACGCCGAGGTTTGAATCGTCATGGAAGTAAGAGTTGGGAAAAAGGTGTTGGTCGAGATGGGCGAGGAACCTTCTTCAGATCACTTCTCCAACCTTGACTTCTCTCTCTCCTTACACGACGATCATGCAAATGCATTGAAACCAAATGTACAACGCCGAGTTTTAACGCCAGGGTTGATGGAAACTGAACAGATTTTGTGAAAGCCGACAGTGACGGTGATAGTGCCAGAGTCAAACCATTCCAAGGTGTGGAGAGAAGGAGGAACGCCGGGTTCTCCAACAGCTCACACACAACTATTGACCGGTTTAACATTTCCCAAACACTGTGAACCATTTTATCGCTATCGGAAATCGGGGGAAAGCAATTATCGAGGGGGGCGTTGAACCCATGGTGGAAAAATAACGAGTATAGACACTGTCTAGTAGACAACCCCTGAAGCAGGAGCAAAACAACTCTTTGTTTGTGTGGTAAGGTCCACGCGTGGGTATGCAAGGTCGAAACAGGGCCGACAATTAAGGGTATCCAAAAAGAAAAACAATAAACTCGCTCGATCACGGGCGGGCTGGCTGACTGACTCGCGAGGAATATGTTCGTGTCCGTGGCAAGGCGTCAGATTCTGTCTGGTCCTTTGTTGGTCTGGTGATAAGAGAGGTCCCGTCCTTTACATGACGATACACTCCTTATCGTCCTTGTCCGTACTCTTCTTGATCTTAGCATTTCGAGCCGGGGCGACCTCCATAGGCGTTCCTCCGCTGACGGCCGCGCGGATAACTGCTAACCGCTGCTTTGCGCGCTCATCGCCTCCCTCGGCCGCCTTAACGTACCAGAGGTTGGCTTCCAAAATATCCCTTCGGCATCCTATGCCCATTTCCGTGAAGTAGCCAACAGCATATTGTGCTTTTACATACCCTGTTATGTCCGGGTTAGATTTATTCTTCCCGCGACGTCATCTTCAGATGTGGTTAGAGTCCACTTACCAAGCTCTGCGGACCTCTTGGCCCATTCATATGCCTCCTCTTCGTCCTTTTCTAGGATGGGATCTGCCCCAACCAGGTACCAAGCGCAAAGTCCCATCATAGCAGCAGCGTGGCCACGCTCCGCGGCTCCCGTGTAGAAGTGAACGCTAAGAGCAGGGTCTCTTGGGCAGTTGAGCTTCCCGTGCTCGTAGGCATCGCCCATTCTGTAATTGGCATCGGGATGGCCCAGATCGGCGGCTTGGGTGAACAGCTCAGCGGCATAACTTTCGTCCTTGAAGATGTCGTCGCCATAGCCTGTCTCGTACAAGCATCCAAGCTGATACGGAGCGGCGTTATAAATCGCATCCGCAGTTTCGGTGGCGAGCTTCAGCCACTTGACACCCTCCCTATATCTCTTCTCGCCCAAATCACCCGTCAGACAGGCCGTTCCTAGCCTTGTCATGGCGCCAGGGTGCCGCTTGGAGGCTGCCGACCGTAAGAATTGCACGGCCTTGGCAGGGTTTTTGCTGCAGCCCCAGCCAAACTCGTAGCATAAAGCGGTACGATAAGCGGACTCTGCGTGGCCATGCTTGGCAGCTAACACGAACAGAGGGAACGCCGAGTTGTAGTCCTCCTTCCCCTTGTTGAACATACCCGAGGCATAACCGTCAGCGAGGTAATACTGTGCAAAAGGATAGCCGCTGTTAGACAATTTCTGTAGGATGGCCCGCGCTTCCCGCACTAGTTCGTATGGCGAAGACTGGTTGCCTTCTGCGGATAGGCTTTCTGAAGATCGCCCAGGTTTGAGATTTTTAGACTTCCTGAGTTCGTCAAAGTTCAGACCCTGCTCCTTGGCTGTATTGATCAGAAAAACGGCGAACGAATACTGAGTAGAGTAGTCGTTGGTTTTCTTCACATTCTGCCTGTACATCTCCAACGTCTTCTGGGCGCTAAGAAGAGAAGCATTAGTGCCAACTGCACTGCGTAACTGGGAGTTGTCGAGTGTGAGGGGTGCCGGTGCCGGTTGGGGGTATGGAACGTTCAAAAGCTCGGCAACAGACTGTCGTCGATTATCAGGCGAGTTTCGAGAGTTTGCGGATGGTGTTCGGTTTTGTAGACCAGGGGAGTGCCCCCGAGACCCAAAGTCCGAGTAAACCGAATACGAAGACTGCGGACGTGGCACTGAGCTTCGCCTGTTGAAAGAGTTGGGCGTCAAGTGACGGTTGATGGCGCCACCGGTATCAACGAGGCTAGAGTTCGACCGAGCTCTTGGGTCTTGGTCTACAGCTATGCTAGCCGGCCGTGGCAGGAAGGCAGAATGATGGTAGGCGAGCTGGGGTACCTGTTCCGCCCGAGCAGAGCCATCCTCGAGGATGGAGCTCTCAGGAGAGACATGGCCAGAGTTGTCTGGACAATCGGAAGCCTCTATAACGCCAGACACCGAACTTGCGCTGGTTGCCGCCGATGAATCGTTCGAGGTAGGTTGCTTAGACGTGCTAACGGTGGTGTCGGACTCTCGGCTTCGACGATTGGTAACTCTTCCGTGGCTCGCTCGCGAAGAATCGGATGAGAGATCGTCTTGGCCAGAGGCCTCTAGCTTCAACCTGGCCACGCTGGGCAGTTCTAGCCCCGGCAATGGCTTTACAGACTCCTTCCGTGCTGACTGCGCGCTCGGAGCCTCCGGATAGCTAGACGCCTCTTGCCTCGGCTGTTCATGTAATGGGGTCGCGGGGAGGGCACGATCGAGGACGCCCGGGATCGGCTGTGAGCCGTCGTACGACCGGTCTGTTTCGATATTGGCGTTGGACGGTTGAGCCCAGTTGTCGGGTTGGAAGCTGATATTCACGGGCGAAATAGGCGACTGACGGATCCGAGGCGATTCGGCCAAAGAGACGCCGGGAAGAGGAGGCGCATTTTCATTCCATTCGAAGCGCTCGATGGAGGCAATGGCGGGCAAGCCTGTCGTAGGAACAGGTTTGCTATGAGGGCTGGTGGTTGTTGAGGTCGGCGACGCAGCCGGTGATGCAGTGACAGCCGCCATGACAGGCGGCGGGGTTTATCAAGGTCGTCTGATACAGCAGTCAACTGTCAAGTCGTATGTGGTCACAATGCCTGCAGACAGCTGCAGCCTGTCAGACTCTCCTCTCTATGATTCCGTCCTTGTTGAATTCGCTGTCACCTTCCACTTGCTGCTGTCGCAAGCATATGCCGTACTTTTTTCTCGCAGCCGTCAGGCTAAAGCTGTGATATGTAGGGATGGAGTTTATGCGCTGTTGTAGTAGTTGACCTTTCCTCTCCAAAACCAAAAAGGCGCTGTAGCGGATCGAAGTCGCAAGGACTGGGAGGGCGCCGGTGGGTGTTGAACGGGCAGGATCCCGTTACAGACAAGACAGCCAAGTGTGGAGAAGTGCTAATTCGCAATGGACGGGCAAACCCAGGAGCCCAGGGAGCTGAGTACGCGCAGACAGCCGACAGGGGGGACGGGGGAACGGGGCAACGGGGAAACGGGGGGCCGTGACCGCGTGAGGATGATCGTACTAAGTATTTGGTGATCGCGTGGGTGGAGGAGGACTCGTGGATGGTGGAGAGACGATTCGGCGATCTTGCGGGCAATAAAACGAACAGCTTTTCCCGGGTGATGCGCGTCGTGGTCTGTACGTAGCCTTTGAAATCTTGTGTGAGCCTTTGAAGAGCCTTTGAGCTCGCCTCGGATGTACGTACACACTGACACACGAAAGTGGAAAGTAAAGGTTGTAGCGAGCGACAGGGTTGACGGGAACCTCAAGGCGACGATGAAGCGAGCGTTGATGTCTCTTGTCGGGTTGGCCAAGTTGGAAAAGACCCAAGGGGATTAATTGTGCCTATGTAACGAGAAATTAAGCCAGGGCGGTCAAAGAAAGGAAACTATGGACATGTATTGGTAGTGTAATAGGCCAAAGTCAACATCCAGAACGGAGACCGGAGGCGAGACGAGACGTGAGGCTGGAGGTCCAGGCGTGTGTATCGTGGTGGCCGTGGTGGATGCTCTTGGTGGTTTTCCTCTTTGGTCTTTTCAGTTTGGACGTGATGCAGTGGACTGATGTTGGGATTGACGGCAGCGGTTGACGGGTGAACTCCCAGAGAGGGCAGAGTGGAAGCTCCGCATCGTCCGACCACCTGCGCTGCCCAGCAGTGTGGGAGGTATTGGGTGCTGGGTGGTGGGGACCTGGGGGGCCCTGCAGGGACAGACTGTGCAATGCAGACGTGAATACGGGCGGGCGAACAGGCACCCGAACTTTCACTTCCATTACATTAGATTAATTCATCCGAGCTAGTGTGAACAGAGTAATTTCATTACTCACTGTCAATGGCCTATAGACTACATGCTGGTCACGCGCATCCATACCTCTTGTTCTCCCTTCTCCTCTGTTTAGATCAACGGAACGAATGCCAATCCTCTCTCTTGCTTCAGGCACGAGGCACCCAGACGCCTTTCGGGATCAACAACCTTCGCTCGTCTTCCGGTCGGTTGTAGATCTCATATTCTACTTCACAAGGCGATGCGCTTGCGTTTAATTACTGGCTTCTTGAATAGCCACCGAGAGTAAAGGCATGTAAGGTATTGTATGTACCTTGAGTTATTCACACCTTCCTTAGGTACCTCATCCTCCAAGAAATTGTCCCTTCCCCCTGTGAATATGATTATGTGTTATTTGCAGCTACTACCGGTAACCATGAGGATCCCGGCCCCTCTTTCCGACAAAAAGGCAAGAACAAACAGGAAATGCACATGAAACTGCCATCCATTCCACGCCTTCACCTTCCATATCCTCGAACTGATCCAGGAATGACAGATGACGATGGCTGTCTCTGCTTCGGTCTGGATCGCCTGTCTGAGGGCATTAAGCTTTTGCTTGTGCAACGCGCTGGCTGAAAAGGCTTGCATCATCTTGTGGCTTGCAGGACCTGCATCTGGGGGCACCATTCTGAACTACATATCATATATCGCCTAAACATACCAACAAAACTTTGCGGCATCGGCAGACACTTGGCGTCTCCCTGGCTGCCTCTGGCTATTCGACTCCGAGACAGCAGTCCTCAGCTGTGAGGACTGTTCAGGCTTCATTAGGTAGGCATCGCGTTAGTGACAAGGCTGGCGGCACAGCCAACATCGAATCGCCAAGTGAAGATGAGTTCCTGAACCGTCGACACACATCAAGATTCAACAAAGAATGCACAACCACCCTGGCAGGGAAACACACTAGTGAAAGTGAAAGTACCATCTCCATGGGAAGTGCTACGCTACCTGCGCCGTAGCTGGGCAGGTGCACTAAAGGCTAGGTACCGAGGGGCTAAATATGCTAATAATAGAGGTATCCCAGGTGACGATGGCTTCTTCGTACGACAAAGGTTACCGCCAAGCTGGTAGAGGAGAAACAAAAGGTGACCTCCATTGCCCGGCCCGCAATAGCACACGTTACCTTACTCGCCAGACATACCTCTTTGGGCACAGCATACCGATTTGCGAATTCCTACAGCTGTGGTCAAGCCCTCCGTTCAAGAATATGTCGCAGGATGTGGTTCAGCTCCATGCAGCCTCGCGAGCATTGCTACTGTGCGGAGCGCCCCGTTGCACAAACTCCATACATGATCCAGACGGCCGGGCTGCCGGGCTTGAAGGTCCCCGTCCGGACTTCCATATCCATTGGTTCTCACAAAATCTTGAAAAATTTGATGGGTTTGGTGCTGACGATATGGGCCGTTTGGCTGCTCTAGCTGCTCTAGCTGCTGCTTGTACATCGACCGCAACCCAACAAGCCGAGCGATCTTCTGCCGCTGAACGAGGGCGGCGGGGCTATTTAGCGTTCACGAACCCGGGCTTTGTAGCACCCCGCGCCTTCTCCTTGGCCTTGGGACATCGTCCCGTTTGTCCGTTCTTCCGAGCTACCCATGAATTGTCGAATGCCGGACTCGAGGTGTTACCGCTCTGATTTCGCCAACGACATCGGGTAGAAATGTGCTCCAGCAGAGACGGTGAGAAAATCCCTAGCTCGAAAATAAATGAAATACGGCTTGTGTGAACAATGAGAGGACCTGCCTTTTGTTGCATCGTTCGCTCACAGTCAGCGCAACTTCGTATCGATAGATGGTGTCGAGGTCAGCGTGACCACCATCACTTTGACGCACATCCGGCGCAATACGAAGCTGACGGCTTGCCCTTTTGGGGAACTGAGAAAGGACGTGATCCAATCACAATATTAGGCAACTTTTTAGTCCTACACAACCCCCTTCCTTTCATAACATTGGCCGTCGACATTTTGACATTTATAACGCACGCTCAGCACAAAGACGATGAGCAACAGAGATATAGACCTCGTATGGTTAGTTCCTTTCTATTTACACCAATATCCATCGCAGAAAGACTCTTTTCGACGTATCCGGATAGGCTGCTACACTCCCAATTTTTCACTTGGTCAGCATCTAAGCGCTAGAACTACGCCAAGAACACGTTCGTTCGTACACCTGCATCGTGAGGTCGGATACGGGTGCCGAGCGGCAGCGTTTTTCGGCTTCACGGCGCTTTTAAAACATTTGTTGGTCCGTTGGTGCCGCGAGGAAGGCGTCCGGAAAGGCGGCGACCATTCCTTCTGCAGTGATAGACTGAAGGTTTCCGCAGTACATACTCTGGCCACCTGGGATGGGGTTGGACAAGGCGGCGGAAGGAATGTGGGATGGATGGCTTTGACCAGCGATCAAACTGACGGAAGAAGATCTTTGGTACTTTAATATCGACCCCGTGGGGATCTGTGTGAGGTTTTGATCATCTCGCACGGCTGTTGATGTTGGAATATCTGGGGATCGCTACCAAGAGTTGGTCACGTCTTGCCCGTCCAAGAAATCCAACCACAAACAACACAAGCACGCCGAGCGAGTGGTCGTCTCAAAATCTCAACAGGCGCCTCTGGACGTGACGTCCAAAAGGTGTGGAGAAAACTTTCCCCCGGTGGTTTGCCCAGACAAGCCGGGGGGAAACGTGGGTATATCACCGGCTCAAGACGGTAACGTATCTTTCGTATAGCCCTAATATTCGTTTCCCTCAAGACGGGGTCATGGAGTTCATGGAGTTCATCTGGATTCCAGGGTCCAATATTTACAGTGGGGACGCAAAGCGAGATTGACGCTCCGGACGGCCTCATTCGATAGAAAATCACCGAAAATGAGGTAACCCCGCCCATGAACGAATCGTAAATTTGAGAATGAGAAGGGGGGCATCCTCTTGTTCGGTTGTTCAGTGTCCTCCAAAACAGTCAACTGGCGGGAAATAAAAGGGGGAGTGTCTCACGTGAATTACAGAACTCATCAGTGGTCATCTACATTACAGTACGAACCAACACTGTGGATCCGGGATGTGCCCCGCGGGAGAGTTCCCCAAGGCGTCACGGATCGTGAGCGAGTTGTGGACGGGATCACTTACGGGTCCGGGCTGGCTGTGCTCACTCTTTGAGCCCCGGCGATGATATCCAGCCGCAGCTGGAGCTCAAGTCCGGCCGAGCACTCCGTCGCCGGAAGACGACCGGAGCTTTACACAGCTCTTAACTGAATAAAGAGTGTTCAGTGAGCGTAACCGGCGCCAACATTTGAGCGCGGTGCAGCCGCTAGATACACGGCGACTTTTTTTCAACGTCGTCTCAACGCTAGTTCACGGTAGCTCACGATGGCAGCAATTGGGAAATGAAAATGAATTGATGCGTCCCGTGGCCCAGGCATTGGGCATTGATTGATGAAGGGAGGAAGCATGCATACAGTGGGGAGTTCTGCGAGGTTCCAGAAGCGCACCGTGTCATTCAGCGGCCGCGGGGATTCCACTCTGGAGGAGCGCGGAGCGCAGATCGCCCAAAGCCACTGACCAGGTAGGTGCACTTGTGGCAGATCATCAGACGAAACAAAAACTGAACTGCCTGTGAGCCAAACAGCCAAACAAGCCGGAAGCTACTCCCTCTCTCAGTCTCTCTTCACATTGGAATTCATCATGCCATGCCAGATGTTGCAACTTGTGCCGTCTCCCGTTCGCCGTTACTTGGCATATCGTCATTATCGTTTCAAGACTGCCCTTTGCCGTGCCGTTCGTAACCAGACCTGTTCCTGGCTGCACCTCATCCAATCTTTCTGCGCTTTGGTCTCTTGGGGTTTGGGGTTCCCACTGCCATCCTAGTCCACAACAGGCACAGCGGAGGCATTGCGCATTTTGGTGGTTTGAATTCCAGATCTCTCTGTTGGGTTTTGTCAACAGCTCATCGTTGCTGAGGTTATGCTTTGCCTGTAGTAATGACTGCCCGTGTTGATACCTCTGTCGTCGACCTCATCCACGCCGTCTCTGTGCCCTGCATATTGACATAACCGGCAGCTACTGCATGGACTAAACAAGTACCTGTAAAATCGGCGCTTGGTTGCATTGACCCTGCCTTACCGCCGTCCCAAGTGTCCCCTGGCAAGCACTAGGAGAAGACGCCCGGCAGCTTGTCAGGGCAGGGACCATTACGCTGGAAACATCGAACATCAAAGACTTTTTTCAGGGCGACCATTGCAAGCTGGGCTCTGTGAGCCTTTGGCCAAGGGGAGGGAGGGCACCTGGGAGTGCGTGGAATCGAGGGATCTGGATTGAAAAAAGGGACAAAAAAACGAGCGGGCTGGGCCAGGTTAGTGCGCAGCTGATTGCCAATTCCAGGTTCAGGTCGTCGGGTTTCTCTTCCACTTCCTTGGCTCTGGGAAACAGCCAACAGGGCCGGCGCATATCATTGGTCTAAAGAGCGCCTGCGCCCCTTCGACCCTTCCCGTCTCCTGAGAAACACCGTCGAGTCTGCTTTTAGGTCTGCCAGGGCAGCCCAGTATTCCAACCTCGTCGGTTCCGCATTTCACAAGATTTGTAAGTTGATTTCTCTATACCTTAGCTCAATTCATTATTGGTATAGCCTGATTCGTGTGCAAAAAGACAATCATCACATCGTTTCTCTTGGCAGAGGCCCGTCACTATCGACCGACTGCTTCCAGTTGCGACGCGACGAGTGACGTTGGCTCTTCCACGACAAACTTCCTCAGATACCAACGACTCTTCGGCCTTCCATCGATCCCGGACTCGCTAACCGTCCCGCTTCATCTAGCATCATGTCTCTTCCTCAGAGGCCGGGGGCGTCGCCTTCGTATGAGGAGCGACGCAGCTACCGGCAAAGCGGTTCGCGCCGCAGTCGACCACCACCCGCCGATGTCGAGGCCGGCGGATATGAGACAGGAGGACGACCAAGCCAGCGACAACGTGTACCATCGATATCATCATTCCCGGAAACGCTTCCGTCTCCCAACCCCAACGTCGAAAGGGACCCTTTGGCGCCGACCCCCGAGCCCGCACATCCATCCGGTATACCTCAGCGGAAGAGGAGTTTGATTCGACCGGAGCGTAACCGAATCGGAAAAGACCACCCCAACTACCACTATAGAAAACATGCGGCCAACATGAACACCCTGCCGTCTTCAACCGGCAACGACCCGATATACGAGGATTTGGAGGGAGCAACCGACGACGTATCAGGGACTGGGTCGAGGAACGACGACTATATTTCCGAGGAGTCGCCCCCAAGGAGAAAGCACTCAACGAAAACCCGCGTTATCGAAACTGAAAAGTCCGCTGATGAGAGACGGCGTCGGCGGAAGTCGGATACCGCAAAACCCGGCAAAATTGTCAAGGATTCAAAGGGAAAGCACGCAAAGCCCGGAGGACTCCCCGCCCCGAGCTTTTGGAACATCTACTGCGGATTCGTCACCTTCTGGTGCCCTGGCTTCGTCCTTAAGTGCTTCGGCATGCCCGAAAAGGCTCAACAAAGGGCGTGGAGAGAGAAGATGGGTCTGATCAGCATTATTCTGCTCATCATGGGCTTTGTTGGCTTCATCACCTTCGGCTTCACCCAGGTGGTCTGCGGTAAACCTCCGCTCCGTTTGCACATCAATGAGGTCGGGTCAGGATACATGATCTTCCACGGATCTGCATATGACCTCACCAAATCTCACCATCCTCCGGCCGAGGGTATCCCGCGCCGTCCAGACGGTTTGGGTGCAAACATTATCTATGACTTACCTCAGCATTACGGTGGACAGGACGGCAGTTTCTTGTTCCAGAACGTCAACGGCAAGTGCAAGGGTCTCATCACCAAGCAAGAGAAGTCCGATGTGCCAAGCGATAAGAGCGGCAATCTGGCGTGGTACTTCCCTTGTACCACGTTCAACCAAGATGGTTCATCCAAGCCTAACACCACGATACCTTATTACCTGGGCTATGCCTGTCACACGACCGCTAACGCCAGAGACTCTTTTTATCTCGGCCTCCACGGCGCCGCCGATGTCTACTTTTCGTGGGATGACATCAAGAACAGCTCTCGAAACCTTGTTGTCTACTCTGGCCACGTTCTCGACCTTGATCTGCTTCACTGGTTCAACGACACTCAAGTCACATATCCCTCCCGCTTCAAGGAGTTGAGGGATAAGAACACTGCTGGAAACCAGGCTATTCGTGGACGCGATATCACACATGCCTTCCAGTCGAGCAAAGACAAGCAGATTGCCGAGTGTTTCGAGGAGATCATCAAGGTCGGTTCGGTGGACACCGAGACTGTTGGCTGCATTGCGTCAAAGGTTGTTCTCTATGTGTCCCTCGTCCTTATTCTTGCAGTCGTCCTCGCCAGATTCGTCCTGGCCTTGATCTTCCAATGGTTTATCAGCAAGACGTATGCGGCCGCTAAGACCTCCCAGACGTCTGACCAGCGGAAGCGAAACCGCCAGATTGAAGACTGGACCGAAGACATTTACAGAGCTCCCTCAAGGTTCCCAGGAGAGGTTGGTAGCAGTGTCGCTGGAAGCTCGGATCGTCAAAGCAAGCGCAGCAGTGCTTTCTTACCCACCCATTCCCGTTTCTCTACTGTCTACGGCAATGAGCGCGGCAATAGGAAGTCCGGACTTCCTACAACCATGGCAAGCCAGAACGCCGCTGGCCAATTACTTCAGCCAGGAGCGATGTACAACGGCCAAGGAAACGAGAGTCGGTCGAGCTTTCTCAAATCTGACCATTACGGATCAAGCAGCAGTCCCGCAGACGGCCCAGGCCCTGCCGGTTTTATTCACGAAGCTGTCGTTCCTCAACCGCCTTCCGACTGGATGCCGTTTGGCTTCCCTCTGGCCCACACTATCTGCCTTGTCACAGCCTACTCTGAGGGTGAGATGGGTGTTCGTACCACCTTGGACTCGATTGCAATGACGGACTATCCCAACAGCCACAAGGTTATCCTCGTTATTTGCGATGGTATCATCAAGGGCCATGGAGAGACACAGTCGACTCCCGATATCATTCTCGGCATGATGAAAGACCACACCATTCACCCCGACGATGTTGAGCCATTCTCTTATGTTGCAGTTGCAACGGGTTCCAAGCGCCACAACATGGCCAAGGTCTACGCCGGCTTCTACGATTATGGCACTAACTCTGCCATCCCTCTGGAGAAGCAGCAGCGTGTTCCTATGATGATGGTTGTCAAGTGCGGTACTCCTGCTGAAGCCACCGTGTCGAAGCCTGGAAACCGTGGCAAACGTGACAGTCAGATCATCCTCATGTCTTTCCTCCAGAAGGTCATGTTCGACGAACGTATGACCGAGCTGGAGTATGAGATGTTCAACGGGATGTGGAAGATCACGGGCATTTCTCCCGACTTCTACGAGATCGTGCTCATGGTTGACGCCGATACCAAGGTATTCCCCGACAGTCTCACGCATATGATCTCGGCTATGATCAAGGATCCTGAAATCATGGGTCTTTGTGGCGAGACCAAGATTGCCAACAAGCGAGCAAGCTGGGTCTCTGCCATCCAGGTGTTTGAGTACTTCGTCTCCCATCATCTCGCCAAGGCTTTCGAGTCCGTCTTTGGTGGTGTCACCTGTCTTCCCGGATGTTTCTGCATGTACCGCATCAAGGCGCCCAAGGGTGGCCAGAACTACTGGGTCCCAATCCTGGCCAACCCGGACGTCGTCGAGCACTATTCTGAGAACGTGGTCGATACGCTGCACAAGAAGAACCTCTTGCTTCTTGGTGAGGATCGTTATCTCAGTACGCTCATGTTGCGCACGTTCCCCAAGCGTAAGCAAGTGTTCGTGCCTCAAGCCGTTTGCAAGACCACTGTCCCCGAGGAGTTCATGGTGTTGCTCTCGCAGCGTCGCAGATGGATCAACTCGACGATTCACAACCTGATGGAGCTCGTTCTCGTGCGCGATCTTTGCGGTACCTTCTGTTTCAGTATGCAGTTCGTTGTCGGTATCGAGCTGATTGGTACTCTTGTGTTGCCTGCCGCCATTGCCTTTACATTCTATGTTGGTGAGTAGCCAACCACTCTCAGGTTTTCCTTCCCCTTCTTGACAAACTGAATACTAATATCTGATAACTAGTCATCATCTCGATTGTCCACTCCCCGCCACAAATCATCCCGCTCGTTCTCCTCGGTCTCATCCTCGGTCTCCCAGCCCTCCTCGTCGTCGTCACCGCCCACAGCTGGTCCTACATCATCTGGATGTTCATCTACCTGCTCTCCCTGCCCGTGTGGAACTTTATTCTGCCCACATACGCCTTCTGGAAGTTCGACGATTTCTCGTGGGGCGATACGCGCAAGACGGCCGGCGAGAAATCAGGCAAGGATGGCCACGGCGAAACCGAGGGAGAGTTTGATAGCAGCATGATCACCATGAAGCGCTGGGCCGAGTTTGAGCGCGACAGGCGCGTCCGGAGCACGTACTGGGCCGGCTCAAGGGACAATGTCATGTCGGGCGTGGGAGGCAGTAATGGCTGGAGCAGTCAGCCGAGGGGCCATGAGCAGGGGAGACACTTTGATGACTACTTTTCGGATGCTTGAGTTTTGACGTGGTGTTGTTGTGTCGGGTGTTGTGTTTAAAGTACTACTAGTGTAGGGTCTTTGTCTGAAGGTCAGGTGTTTGTTGAAAAAGAAGGGATATGTTTATTGAAACCAGCCCTCTGTTTCTTTTCACCATCACATTCATCATGGACAAGGCTATATTATTAATGTGGCAGTTTGGTTGATCGGTTGGCGGGTGGGTTTTGTTAATAGGGTTAACGCTTAGACATTGTTATGTGAAAAAGAAATACTTCTTTTTGGAACTGTTCGTGGTTAGTTACCTATACTTGGTCGGCAGTTGATCAACCGGCCTTTTGTGAGTGAAGAAGAGGGAGAAGAGGAGTCGGGTCATCTCAAAAGCGAAAGCAAATGCTTAGGTGATCAGCCAGTAACTTACCTGACAGTAATACGCATACAAGACAAGTATTACCACGATACATCTACACCAGCCATTTGTCCACATCTTCGAGTACCTCCTTTCAAGCCCTGCTCCTTCCTTTCCATCAAGATACAACAAAGTCAAGATAATCGCCCATGAAAATCGACTCTATACATCGCCGCAACAGCACCGCACCGCACCTCGCCAGGCGGGAAGCAAGTACGACGAGCACAACAAATGCGCCACTGTAGGCTAACTATCATGTATGTTTTCCCATATTGCATGTAGCTATCCGAAGGCAGGCAGGGGTAGGTAGGTAGGTACTACCTCTACTTGGTGAGTTGATAGGCGAGGTAGGCGAGACCAGGCAGACAGACAATGGCCCCGATTTTATTCCAGTATCGGATACGGGATGGATTACTCGGACTGGTGGTGAATGGAAGTTGATACTGCGACGACACTTTTGTCAAATCCTCAGTTCGAGTGCTGTGAATAGAAGAGAATAACTCACGTTGGAGAGTGAGGAAAGGATGAAAAAAAGGAAGGAAGGAAGGAAGGAAGGAAGGAAGGGAAGAGGGTGTCGAAGACGGTCTTTTTGTCAAATCAGATATTCCATGATGGTTCAAAGGGTGTACATAGGTATGGATGAAGGTGGTTGTGTAAAGGAACTTGATCGACCGACTGACTGATGACTGACTGACTGACTGACTGACTGACTGACTGACGCCTGTCCTTGTGTATAACCTGTGTCAAAGGGAGAGGGGAGATGGCTAGGCAACATGAATCTACAATACAATACTGGTTTGTTTGTTAGTTTAGTTCTTCAGCCATGGGTTGAACAATCTCCTTCGAGATGTTCAAGACTGGAAGATATAAGAGGGCAGTCCCCTAAGGCACCCATCCGCTAGAAGCCCGAATGCTTTTCCACTTTCAGTGGAAATGGGTGTTTTTTGTACCTAACTAACAAACAAACCAGGGCTGGATTATATAAACCTAGGTAATAAATAATGTGGGGGGCGACGGGGGTATAAAAAGCGAGGAGGAAGGAGGAAGGAAATGGGGGAAGTTGGTGTGAAAACCTGTGAACGGTGTGGTGTAGTAAGCGGATGCGGATAGTGATATATACTACGCATATACGCAGTAGAGGTAGAGACCGCGCGGCGGGTGGTCTGTGTAACGGCAGATATAGGCTCGTAGGGTACGCAAGTCTGTGTGGGACAAACATGTATGTTCTTTAGTCATGAACGGGTTCCTCTCTGTATCACCAGGGTTTTTTTAGTCCGAACTCTCTAGTAAACATAAGAGGGCTCTGAAAAGTAACCTCCATGAGTTGCAGAACCTGATCTCGCTCAAGTGACAGTGATCATCCGTAGAGGCATGAAGCTGACCGGCGGCTCGAAAGAATGTTGACCGGCGAAAGTAAGCAAGGACAGGGAGCGAAGTTCAGCGGTCTTCAAGGTGATGTATCACATTACTGACTGTTGCCCACCGAGCTCAACGATGCTGGAAACATAGTTTTTTATGCGCGGAGGCCTTCCGTCTTTGTGAGATTCCAGGATTTGGTAGTATCCTCTTGCTCTTTGGTTGCCCCACACTAAGGAAGTCTCCCGTGCTTCCAAGGATTCGGGAACTTGTCTGTCTTGTCTGTATGGTACCACGGTGGTGTTGTATCGAGGGAACGGACGGTGCACAGATTCCCGTCGGGATGCAGCAGGTGGATTCCGGGTAGCGCTAATACTGGCCATAGTTAGAGACCTCGTGCATATAGGGGCTGTTTCTTAACAAGACACTATCAAAAGAACCTTGAAGTTGTAAGGCGGGGGCAAGGACGAACTTTGTCAACTGACTTCGTTATCCCGCCCCGCGAGCCCGCATTCTCACGCACTGCTGTCATGTATAGGTACTTTACATCGCATATTCGCATTGGATGATCCAACTGCACCCCAACCGCACCATTGCAGATGTTTCCATTTGTTGAAGAAAGAAGGGAGACCAGTCACTCCCGTCAAGCACCATTGAGATGGCTTCAACTTGCCGTTAACAAGCGCCCTATCCGCTCGCAAAACCGCAGTGACATCTAGAGAGAGCAGCTGAATACGACTCGATCGGAAACAAAAGAAGGCCTGTGAACAGTGGGTCCCGTCCCAAGCCTATCTTGGTTATCCGAGTCCAATCAACATCACCTCTTCCCAGACTTGGGGTCCTTGATGAGCTTACCAGAGAGCCGGCGCCCGCTCATCAGCATCCAAAGCAGGGCAACCACACTGCACCACCTCCACTGCTCTTAGTAACCACCTACCTGTACACCAACCACCACCTTCCTTTCTGAACCGCCCGCACTGGCTGCTTGCCCGACAAAGAAACGAGTCCAACAAGGAAGATGGAGGCGACTCTTCCACGAGCACGAGGTGTTGTTTGAAATTCCATCTAGGTAGCAGGCTTCAATCGGATTACAGAAGCCAAGTCGACAACTACTCCGATTTCCATCCAATCTCCGAGTCCCCGTTCGTCCCTCCGAGAGAGACGGGACTAACGAGCCCAGCCGTCGCCCTTCTGCCCCCGATCCGGGCCCAGCCAGCTGAAGCTGAACTGGCACTGCAGAGTAAAGTGCGCGACTTCCATGACTTCGACCCATCAGGCCAATCCACTGTTCCAGTGCGCCTGCCCCTCAGTCGCGACCACGCCCGATGCGCCCCATATATTGACGACCCGTCCATAATAAACAACGGAACTTAATCTCACGAACTCCCGCCCTACCCACCAGCTGTCGCTATGCGCGACACAAAAATGCGGAACGGCAACCGACCACAAGTATCCCAGGGTAGTCACGGTACTGTCGCCTTTACCGACATGCCCAGCGGAAACTCGGCCGTCGCCGGGTCCAGCTGGCCGACCATCATCCCCATGTCCACCATCCCGGACGCAGAGGATGGGGTAATGAACTACCAGTACCAGGTGGAGAGCGATCAAGTAGGATTCGGCCAACCACTTGACCAGTTGTCTGAGAGCGGTAGCGATTACGAGGACGTCGAGGACGAGCATCACCAACAAGAAGACGGACAAGACGAACAAGAAATGGAAGAGCACGACGACGACCATGACGAAAATGAGAGCCTATTCTATGGTCATCACTATCTGAATACTGATCAAATGCTGGGCCACCATCCGCAGCCCTCCTTCTACCCTGGTCTGGACGGTTATATCTCCGACGACGTCGACATGTCCGACGATGCGGGTGCTCCCTTGGTGAACTATCTACAAGTGGCCAACTTACTCACTAACGACATGGAAACCGATGTTTCAGACTCGGGTGGCGAGCATGGCTTTCCATATGAGTTGAGCATGGAACCCGACCATGAGGATAGCATTAGCATGACCTCCTCCTTATCAGACGAAGAGCAGTTCTCACAGTACCCTCCTGCTCCTCCAGCTCCTTTCACACCCTTCACCCCGGGCTTAGTCAACCAGATGTTGGCAACAACTGGGCAAGGCTGGCCGCCTACGATGACCGCGTCACAGGTGATATCCAGCATCATCAATACGGTGCATCCCCAAGTTCCGCCTACAACGTTGCTTGATACCTTTCCTCATCCAACTCACGGTCCCAACTTTCACAGCATGACTAGTCTTGGTCCCAGCAACTACTGCCTGACCGAATTCTTATATAACTGGGCTCGTCCAGATCATCGAGAACAGGGAGTACATCTACCTAGGGGCCCCTATCCATGGCCCAGCAGGATTGCGGACCTCGCTGCCCAGAAGCTTTCGCAGATGCGCTACACAGACCTTGCTGGTGACCAATGCGATTTTCAAGGGGTGGACTGGGAAGGACTAGGGGTGACTAGGCAGGAGGCACGGCAACGTCGACTCCTGACCTACAGGAACTATGTCAACGTGCCAGAGTCTGACAAGTGGGATGTGAGTCTAACAAGCCTTCGAAATCTGCCCCTGCTTAAACATGTATACTCACTAGTGTCACAGGAAAATTGTCCCGATGTTAGCTTACCTTGCACCGATAGTTTCTTCAAGTTCCGGCGTATGGATTTCAAGTCCAACATCAACTTGTCGCACTTTCAACTACGAAACATTTTGGCAACCACCTCACGTACCAAGGTCTTTTATCCCGGCACCGGCGCTGTACACCAGTTCAACCCAGTCTCGGGGAAAACCCGGGTAGTCATGAAGCTCGGTGATGCTCAGGGCTCACATGTTTCCACTATGGCCGCCGGCCACGGTGTCCTGATAGCTGGTAGCTTCAACGGTGAGTATACACTACGCCATATGGACTCTGACGAGCCAGAGTCATCAGCCTGCCACGAGGGTATCATTACCAGCAACCAAAGCGGCATTACAAACCATGGCCAAGTCTATCAGGATCGAAATTCCGACAGACCTCTGGTTGGCTTTGCATCGAATGACGCCGTCTTCCGCGTCTTGGATATCACCACCGAGAAATGGCTTTCCCACGAAGTATACGACTTCCCGCTAAACTGCACTGCGGTATCTCCGGACCGTCGCCTGCGTGTCGCTGTTGGTGACCATAAGAACGTCTTCATCACCACGACCGAGTCGACCCTGGGAGGTGGGAAACCCCAGGTCCTTCAGGAGCTCTCCGGTCATCGTGACCACGGCTTCTCCTGCGCCTGGGCAGACGATGGATGGACAGTAGCCACGGGTTTCCAGGACAAGGCAATCAAGATCTGGGACGCCCGCCGTTGGACAGACAACAACGGAACCTCCACGCCGGTATGCACTATACGTGCCGAAATGGCCGGAGTCCGGAACTTGCAATTTTCGCCCATTGGCAGCGGCAAGCGTGTGCTCGTCGCCGCAGAGGAAGCCGACTACATCAACATTATCGATGCGCAGACCTTCCGTTCCAAGCAGACAGTCGATGTCTTTGCCGAGATCGGTGGTGTTTCGTTCACGAACAGCGGGCAGGACCTCACGGTGCTGTGTTACGATCCCACACGAGGAGGCCTTCTGCAGTTGGAGCGGTGCGGAATGGGTCAAATGATGACACGGGATTTCGACGAGCGAGGCTTGGATTATCGCTATTACGGGCGGCACATGGGAGGAAACAGTGACGCTGACTGGCCACGGTCTTCTTTCACCGAGGAGATGCGCATCAAGGATAGCGTGGTTTGGAGGAGTCAAAGACGCGCGGCGCTGGCTGATTTGGAGCCTTTCTGAGCTTGGTCAGGATTACCCGTATTGGGTATTGGGCAACGAAAAAGATACAATGGACTTTCGTGGAGCACTACGGTACCTCTGGGACAGGTTCATGGCGACGAACAAACAAAACGAAGGTCATGGTCAACATCGGGCTGTGTGTACCCTCTGAAGCGGGCTCGGAGGTTTGTTTCATACCATCATTAACCGATTGTGTTTGGCACAAAAAGGATAAATTGCGTTCATCCAACAATATGGAAGGTACTACCCAGGCAGCGTCATCATAGGAGGTCAAGCCTGGTGCCGAGGATTGTGTGGAGCATTAGGGTGATGCCTGGCTCTACAAGATGTTGCCTTGGCAAGCTGGGAAGGAGTCGAGTGTCTTGGAAGCAGCGACCGTCGGTATATATTCTGCGGAGAACATGATTATCAGCTCAGAGATGGACGACCTTGATGAGCAGTTCTGGGGTGTCTACCGTCAGACACACCGCGCTATTGGTATCGGGCGTTATGATTATCACAGGACCAACGAATGGCGAAGAGGAGCATCTTTTGCGGTGTTTGGGCTCTTTCGGAGGAGACACGAAGGTGTTTGGGAGAGCAGGTCTCAGTCAGGAAAGTCATCTCTTCTGGATCGTTCTTTCCGTACTCAGGACGGGTTTCGTTCAAAGGAATGGAAGGAAGGAAGAAGGGGTTACCGGTTGTTTCATGCGAAAGAAGGAACCCAACGCATATATGAATTTCTATCGCGGGAAGGCGTGTCGATGTGTTATCCCTTATCAAGCATTCAGCTCAGTTCGATTGCCTTTTTTGTTAGCGCGTTAACGATACCTCTGTTTCTCTTTTCCGTTTGATTGTTTCGCATTTGGTTCAGTTTCCGCGGATATCATTTCGAGTATTTTTTCTCTCCTGGTCTTTTGAAGTTTCTATTCGTTATCTCGGTGGGTAGCGGGTAGTAAGGTGAACTAGGTGCATTTGTTGAATTCCAGGTCTTTGCATTGCCGTAACTGTAGCAAGATGATGCAGTGGTGACCATCGAGTTGCGATATCCCGTCATTAGTTCCTGCCTTAGTAGATATCATCATTGCTAGCGGGAAGGAACTTTGTCTGCGTGAGGACGGGAGTTCGGTTACTTCAGTTTTGTCATCCCACCTGCTGCCAGAAACGCACCTGCTTGCCTGCCTGTCTGCCTGCCTGCTTCTGGCTCCTGCGTTAAAGGTTTTCACCATGATCGTAGGTACCTGCCCTCAGTTGTCGAAACACACACATATTGCAGTGTTCGTTGCCAAAGAGTTGGGAGCGAAACATGCTGAGACTCGGTAACATGTAGTGGTCTCAAAGAGATGATCCGGTTAGGTTGGTTCCGTCCGGGCACTCGCGGGCAGTCAGTCTCATGAGCTTCCACTTGTAGGTGTGAAATCGGAACGCTGAGTGTCTCTCCATGTTTAGGTATCCCCGTATAATGGCAGTTGGAAGTGTAGTCAAGATAGGTAGCTCCAGAAAGTTATCGGATATCGCCATCAATGTTCAAACAGTCGGGCAGTTCATTCTCGCTGTGAGCTTTCTTGTGTCCTGTCGTTCTCATCATCTGCCCCCGTCCCTTTTCTATCCTTCCTTCCTACTTGTAAAACCACTGTGACTATGACAGTACCTTCCGGTTCAGTTCGATTTCACTTTCTTTGGCTTCTCTCGTCTACATAAGCTGGCTCCGTCTTGTTTTTCCTTCCCCCATCTCTCATTAAGCCTTTTCCTTTAGGTTATTTATTCCCCAGAAATATCCATCCGCCTCCTGACGGGACCCATAAACCTTGGTGGTGGAAGAAAAGGAAGAAAGGAAGGAATGTATCCTGCAAAGCCGGCCTCGCGGTCGGTTATGGAACTCCTCCGTACTAACGTCCCAGCAGTCCAGTCCATACCCACCAAGCAAGCAGTTTAGAAGGAAGGCCTGCGGGATCCCTACTCGGGAACGAAGGCATACTGTTAGAGAGGTAGTAACATCCAATATGATTTTCACTTCGTTTCTGCGATTAACCGACGAATCGATGTTGAACACAATCATAGGTACCTAGGTCGATCAAAATCCAATCTAAGTCTACCTACGTCCAAGTCTAAATGGAGTGTCTGCTACAATGCTAGGATAGGCAAAAGGGAAGGAACGAACGAGTGGAACGTCGATAATAGGGGGGAGCGGAACCCAACGCATCGCATCGATGGGGAGTTTTGAAACAAACAAACATAACAGAGGGCATGTCAAAAAGCCTCTCAACTCGACTTGACCACAAGAGCGGTACTACGGGCCACGCACGGGTGGTTGGCAGACCAGCCAGCCTGAGAGTGCCTGCCTGATGCGTAAGGAGATGTGAACAAAGCGCATATATCCCTTTAGTTTGGGATCGATCAGCTGTGACTAGACGAGAGGCACTTTTACATGATGATACCTCATCAGCCCATCCATCCGTCGAGGTAATATATGTATATATAGATGTTGAGACCTACAAGTATGGATGGCATAAAGACCAATGAATGGCAAAAGATGATGGATGGTAAACTTGGTAAGGGAAACAAACCATCACGGAAAAGGAACAAACCCCCCCCCCCCCCCCCCCCCCCCCCAAAAAAAAAAAAAAAGACATACAACACCAGGGATTCGCTGGTCGTCACCGACCCAACTACTAGTCTGGCCCTCACTGGCTTATATATTGGAGAGCGGACGGGATCCCGAGTTTTCTAGTGGGTATGGTCGTATGTGATTTATTTGGGGTACAGTTAATGCTTATCAATAGTGGTTGGTTGGTTGGTTTGTTGTTCATGTGCTGGACTGCCGAACTGAACGGTATGGTTGTGGGTGTGGGTGGTGAGCGGGCGGCAGTGGACTGGCCTGGACTAGATAAGTGTATTTGATTGATTGATTGATTGATTGATTTGGACCAGTATGTATAAGTTACGATTCTCATGGTACGCACTTATTTTCTTTGTAGGTTACCTGACTGACAATCATTGATGAGTAGGAGGACCATTTTATCACCGTTTCGAAAGCTGAAAGCTTGAGGAGATAGGCTTTGTCTAGAAGAAAGAGGTAGGCTCAAGTGTTTGAGGTTCAGGCTAACTGATCATTATTTGTATAATGTCGAGCGGTCGTAAAATGAACCGAATACGGACAGTCCAATACCACTCGTTGTGACTGGAAAAGGCCATTACAAAACTGTGATGGGGATTACAATAATTTAGAAACATTATCGGGCAGAGTCGCTTAGGGATTTCTTCCCTTCAGCAACTGCCTAGTCTAGAATGTAGGTTCAATGGTATATTAAATGCGCTGGGATGCGTGATAAAAGTATACCCAAAAAGGTGTAATGTACTGACCATGACGTGTTCGGTTTTTCTTACGACTATAGTTCGGATGTATAAACTGACGTATTTATATACGTAATAACACGTCAGAACATTCCACTCTATGTGACATGTACTGCTGAACAGACCGTACGGCATTAAATATCTATCTACAGACAGAGAAAATATATACATACATACATACATACATACATACATACATACATACATACATACATACATACATACATACATACATACATACATACATACATACATGCATAGGGAATTACAACGAGTGAGTGACAAAGGATGATTGATGACCATTAACCGATGACAGGAGCAGACATTATAAACATATGATGAGCAAGCAGAACATTAACCTCGAGTTATTACAAAGGAGACTAGCATTGTTGTGTGCGTGTGTGCACCGCACCGCACCGCAACGCACCGCACCGCACCGTCCGTATATATCGATTTCCCCAACAATGACAACAACAACATGAGATTGTGTATATGCAGATGTAAACTTCCAGTCAAAAAATACTGTCCCCACCCCCCAATGTTCAATGCATGACATTTATCACCATCCTTCTAGAGTGCACTCTGCCACCAAAACCAGATATTTCTTAATGCTTTGAATTGCAAATGGAAGGGAATAGTCTACTTTGATACTTGGTATACCAGCTTTTTGCTTTTCTAACGGCCTTAAGGCGCTATAGCATCAAATGCATTAGACTGTCAATGAAGTCTTGAAACATCTTTGTTTGAATGTTGAAGAATATCTTTCAAACCCGGCAAATATTTTCTCTTCTTTTAATCAATAGAGAAAGCTATAGGGCACCTTTTTTCACCAATGACTTTATTTTATTCTAAAGGTATTCTGTTTCCTGCGGTGCCCTGACTGGCCTATAATGATAGCACCAGTACAAGGTTGCTACAGTGAACTATGCACTTGTAGCAGAGCGGAGCGGAAGCGGTAGGAAGTACGACAGCAATGCTGAAGGAAGCAGCGTAGTTGCAAGTACAATAAAAGGATGTTGTAAAAGAGGTCTTAGAGAGGACTCTGCTCTCAAGACAGAAGATTACAGTGGACTCTGCACTGTGAGAAAAGACTATATTGTATTGCTTGACTTGTGCTTGCTTGCTTAAGGAGTGACGAACTGAAGGAGAGGAGAGGTCTCTATATACATGGACACTAAGCATCTAGAAGCTTCTGTTGAATCCTGTGATGACAAATCAGTCTGGAAGAAATGCTAGCTAAGTTATAAGACTCTAGAATACAGTGGCAAAACCTCTTGTATTCTAGTACATTCTGTGGGGACTGAGTCAACTGATTCCGTAGAAGGAATAGTTCAACTAGCCTTCTATACTACAAGGTAGTACAAGGCAGTTACAAGGCACAGTACTAGCCACACGTTAACACCCCCTCTGTGGCTGTACTTAGTGCCACAAGAGCCCCCTCTATACCCCTATGTTGTAGAGCTTAGAGTAGTTCAGCAGTTGTAAGAACCGCTCGAACTTGGGAGCTGGCAGAGCTTTTGTGAGGCCGTCAGCAGCCATATCCTCTGTTGGAACAAAGGATACGGTGATGTTTCCCTCTGTAACGCTCTCTCTCACGCCTTGGAATTTGAGGAGCGTATGTTTAGTACGGCTGTGGTGCTTGGAGTTATGAGCCGTGTCTATAGCCCCTTGGTTGTCTGACTTCAGAGGAGTAGGGTTTTGAAGAGGACGCTGAATTTCGCTGAATAAACCTCTGAGCCACAATGCCTCACGGTTGCCTTCGATGAGTGCCGTGTATTCGGCTTCAAGAGTGCTGTAGGCTACTGTAGAGGCTCTCTTGGATTTCCAGCTTACTGGGCCTCCACTAATCAAGAACACGTAGCCGTAAGTAGATCGAGCAGTAGTTTTACAGCCAGCAAAATCACTGTCAGTGTAGCCTATAGGTGTTATATCTCCTATAGCGCCGTACTGTATAGCATTGTCGATAGTGCTATAGAGGTAGCTCAACAGCTTTTTTGCTGCCTTCAGATGAGCAACTGTAGGCTGTTGTAAGTGCCGAGAGAGCCACTGAACTACGTGTGCTATATCAACTCGAGTCTGAGTCATAGCGTAAGTAGTAGTGCCTATAAGGCGCTGGTAGAGCTTCTGATCGGCTTTGTTCAGTGGTGGAGAGGGTGATTCAGGACCTGTGAGTCCTGGAGAGAGTGGTATCTTCGGACCGTGAGTGCTAAGCTTGAAGTGTTTGATAGCCTCTTTGATATAAGCTCCTTGGTGAATCCACAATAGTCGTTTGGCTCTATTGCGTTCGATCTGGACACCTAAGAAGAACTTAGCAGCACCTAAGTCTTCTATGTCATAGGCTTTAGCTAGACTTTGCTTTAGAGCTTGGATCTTCTGTTTAGAAGGTCCAATCAGGAGGCAGTCATCCACGTGGCTAACGATGAAGATACCGTCTTGCTCGTTGAAGTAAGTGGCTGAGTCAGAAGTTAAAGGCTTGTAGCCGAGGCCTTTAACTAATGTAGCTACCTTCTGCTGCCACAGATAGGGAGCTTGTTTTAAGCCGTATAGAGACTTCTTTAGTAGTATAACTTGGTCCTTAGTAGGATCCCAA